GCAGGACGTTTGAAATCTAAGCACCTGCTTATTTTTTCATGCCACGGAACGGGTACGCCTAGGTGGGTGTTTAGGTTGAAAGATTTACTGGGTTTGTGAGCGGCCGCAATTCTTACGCGTTGTCAGTCCGTTGTGTTGTGTTCTATACGACAAACTGATGAGGCCAAAGGTGTGCAGCCTGAAGAGGTCAAAGAAGGGAATCCTAGGCAAACAATTTGAGTTTTGGTGGCGCTTCCCTCGGGACTGCTTCGCGTTTCTTCAGTCCACCCCCTGCTGTTGCTGGTAACAAGTTTTAAGCCCTTGGCCTCCACGCCAATAGCAGACCCAGCGGCTGTGAAGGGAAGCGAGCTGACTGCGCTCCGTAAAGCTTTGCGGGCCATCACCTCTTCGTGTTTGACTTGCAACTGTTTGTTGTTAAGATGCTTTACTTTCTCCTACCCCCCGCTCCCTCGTTCCGAGTTTCTCCTTCAACCTCCGCCAAAGTGCTTCACCTCACAGAATAGAGGAAACAAACTCCTTCAAATGTATGACATAAATACGGAACGGTAAACGGCAGATCACGTGTCTATGAAGCCATCTTGTCTCTAGCAAGCAGACACAGCAAAAGAAATATATGTGTGTGTGTGTATGTCTGTGTGCTTAGAACAACAAACATTTCTTAGAAACATACAACCTGGTATTGTATCTATAAGAGGTCACGAAAAATTTGCTCGTTTCCGACAAACATATTCACAACTAATTACTCACGTATATGATATAGCGATTCGATTACTGCGTCTGTTAGAGATGTCACTATCAATTCTATCGTTTTCTGATGGGATTCTGATATCTAGAATTTGGGCAGGAACGTCTAGTGTCGGTGAAACCAACACGATTTAGCAGATATGGGTTGTTTTAGCTTGCCGAGAAATCCTTTGCTCCATAGGGGACTCAGGACACTTAGTCTACCTCACTATTCCCTTAGGGTAGCTGTAAGCAACATAAGCACCTCAACACGCAGGGCATCGAACTCATATGGAACTAACTCCACAACGCATCACATCCAACGCTTGCTACATTGTCTCTTCATCGGTGTGAAGCGTTATGTAAGGGACTCTTTATGCTTGATAATAACTATTCTAACTATGTCCCCAGAGACGGGAAACCCTACCTTCGTCGCTCAGGGGTTCATCCAAACGGAGAAGACCTGCTAGCTTGAATAGTTGCTGTCTACTGTCTGATCCCCTCACCCCATAACCACTTCACTTTGCTCGCGGGCGACTCCCTTATACTTAACACCTATTGGCTTGTTCCATCTCGACCTGCAACCATTGTACTATACAATTACCAGTCAACAGCCTACAGCTAGTGGACACGTTACCTATACAAGCCTACAGTACAAAAGAACGCTCTTCACATCGTCACGCGACCGCATTTTTTCAGGCGGGGTGCGCACTTCGAAGAACGGCACGAAATCAAGCTGCGGATAGCATTTCCGGCACTTTTTGTGCATTTTACAGAGAACTGATCAAAGACTACTCACAAAATGATCGAATGCGGTCAGTAGAACTATTGTTGATGCTCCGATTTACTGGAAAGATAACCTGAACATGAATTGTCAAACTGTATAAATACAGTTATTCGAACATAGACTCCGCTGCCAACCGCTCACGTCATCTCTACCACTATTCGACTATCTTATCGGTACCTTGAAAGGATCTCGCTTGCGTATGACGGAAGAAACACAATGCTGTTTAACAAATCGAGCGCCTAAAAGCATAATAAGATTAGCAGAATAAAGGAAGTGATGTCCTATAAGGGACAGCACTTAACGAAATCCTCAGTGCAAACCTTATAAAACGTATATGTTCGACTAGGAACAAAGGCCGTCGACAGGCCGAGACGCATGTTCAATAAGTAAACAGAGATTCCACAATCAACGAACGTTACCGATTTTGCAGGAAATATAGCCGCAAAATACAGCTGTAGTCCTAGAGTGGCTCATTGGCAGAATAAGAGACGATCGACAATATAAGTCATGATAACATGAAGACGACATGGCTTTTTTATAGTGGTAATAGTCTTGAAGCAAGAAATATCACGCGCGGATCACATAGGCCTATTGTACACTATTGGCAATCTAAGAAATGCCCTTCTAAGCGAAATTCGTCCCGTGGGTGGCACGCACAGTGACCACGATGGAATGAGATTCGTCAACCATTTTAGCGAAACCTATGAACTCAGTTCTATAATGGACACGCAAAGAAAAGGCAAACGTTTCAATGGCCTAGAAGTCCGATAGCCTGATAAGCGGTAGCGTGATCGTCTAGCCCGAAGTCTGAGAAGGTATAACGTCTACTCCCCTATGCTCGTTTGTTGGCTGGCAGGATTGCTGTGGCAACCCTCTAGGGCTATATACTCATACTCTCGACGTATCCTGCATGCTCAAGTAGGTCTGCATGGCCACAGTGGCGTCCGTTTTCTTCGACTTCTAGTGTTCCCCATGGCGGTTAAGCTGAAGCCGGACAATGTGTGCATATATATATATATAGTGCATCGACCGTTGCGTAGCAATGTTCCTAAGCACTGCTAGAATCATTCGACTGCGATTGCTACAGCGGGTGACTACGACGAAGATGATGAGTTACCGAGCTGTCAGTACATGAACATTATGGCTATAGATGCTTTAAGATAGGGAGGTGGCTCCGAAGGCCGCTCCTCAATAGGGGAGTCGATAGACAGCACCCTTCTGTGCAATGGCAGAAGCAGCAGCAGCAGCAGCAGAAATAACGCTCTTTTCTACTTGCCCACGAATGTATGGAGCCGCACAAACAAGGCCGTAGCACTTTGTGCCGTTACGTCGTGCGTTTTAGTGGCCGTGTTGGTCTATTTTATCAGGTAACCAGAGGCGATCGATATTTATTGCTTAGTACATTTGATATGGCCGTTTCGCGTGGTTCCGATCGCTCACCGTACCCAGCTACCGCCTAGACATCTAATCACCCTCCTGATCTGCTTCAAAAATTCAGGGTTATACATATATGTCTGTATTTAGTGATGCTGTTGTTGTTGTAACTGCCGTTGAGTCTTATCGGTGTCTTTCGGTGATCTAGAGATTGCTGATTTTCGCTATATTTAAGAGCCTGCTTTGCGCTGTTGGCCTGCTTGGCTGGGCATCTGGGAGTGGCCGGGCTTCTGCCAACCGAACGCTACCGATAATCAGCTGCTGTTGATTCTCCATCAGTCGGTATTTGGTGAAAACGTTCATCTATAATACAAACATAGCGAGGATATAAAGTTCTCTATTTTTTTTTTTCCGTAGAATGTTGAATTTACTGATGTGGAAGCAAAAGTGGAACGGCGATTAATATTTCTACTTCGAAGTTTACTGACGTTTTATATCAACTGCAAGACTTTCAACTGTGCTTATTTGGCTTTACAATTATATGCAAAAATGATTTTTTTACCTAAAATTCTTCTGAGATTGTTCTGAAGATTAAAAAGTATTGGCGTCCACTTGTGCCCTATTTCGAGCGCTTCTGCTTGGCGGACACTGTTTTTTTTAGCCAATTTCGCTCATTTAAATATGTATGTAACCGCCTAGAATACTTCGAACAAGTAGAACCTATGTAATTGGACGTAGCCGCACTGAAGTTTGGCGATTCTGTTGGAGTCGATATCATCACAATACCCAGATGCCAGCGTATCGCCCCTCCGTATGCCTGTGGGCAAATGACGACTCACGAAGATAATCATTATTATTTTCATTGCCCCGTCAGGTTCCAATAGTTACTACGATCGTCTTGAAAAATATTATTCCTCAAACTTGTTGGTGCATCTTTTTCAGTGACATACGGTAACGGCTGTCGCTTGAGCTATCGTCGCGGCTGCTACAGAAGCACCTTCCGTATGAGATTCTACAGCTGCTGGATGAGCAGCGTATTATAGCACGCGTTTAGTCATTCGTTATTGGTTCATATTTTACCGAAGATGGCTCCCGAATTCTTGCTATCCACACGCCCAAGGTGGCGATGGTAATGGTTGTTCGACTTTACGCTGCTGCACGTTCCCGCAGTGTTTAACCTTACTTGATTGAGTACAACGAAACAACTAACCACTTCCTCTTGTCGATTGTACCATGCGAACGAAACAGCGGATTTATTCAGAAGAAGAAAATGCAGAAAAGAAGAAGTGCGAGAAGAAGGTTCTACTAGAGACGCCCCCCCCCCCGCCCCCCCGACCGCCCCTGCGACTCTTGCTGCGCTGAGAGGGACTCTCACCCGCCCATTTAAATGCTCCCCACAGAAACGAATGCCGATAGAAGGGACGGGCCGGTAGATGATTCTACGGACTGCTGCTGTTGTTATTGGTGTTCGAGCGTAACAGAACCTCACCATTTTGGCTCTTTAACTGAGAAACCGATGTAAAAAGCTTGAAAGACAAAAAAGTGGTAATGTACAGGAAGACACAGTAGCGTATAAGCACGTATAATAACCGTCCGCGTACAGGACTAGAGATTTACACACCCATTGTTGAAGAAGACGAACAAGCTAAGAGAATGATGCACAGATATCTACTAAGCAAGTCTTAACTACCGATAGCCACTGGCCCTAAATAGATAGAGGTATATATTATTAACGATTATGTTCTGTTTCTTGCGGTACACAACGTACGGAACCGTGTAGCAGCGCGTAACGCCCTTCAATCCATACGCATGGACATTTACCGTAGAGAGCCTGCCCTGCCAGCAGGTAGTAGTGGTATCTTTTGCACACATACATGTATGCACACTCACCTACACCGAAGCTTTTTTTGCTACTTGTCTATAAAAGTTTTCGTGACCACTGTGACTCGCTTTGGATATACAGTACAATTTCGTGACTCTATGACTTACATTATGTAAACAAATACATACACAGTTAATTATATGCATACATACATACATATATATATGTGTATATAAAGAGGTATTAACGGAGCGATTTTCTTCCATGTTTCTGGTGATTATTTGTAAATTTTAGGTAAGAGCTTCACGCTGACGATTACAATTGGGACAACTCCACCTCAAGTTGCCATGTACCAGAAGGCCATCAAGGTTACCGTGGACGGACCTCGAGAGCCCCGAAGTGCGTACCCCAACAAGCTCCAGCTAGCCGATACTTACAGACTACTTGGTATATACGTTCATTCATTCATTCTTCATCTTTATTATTGTTAATTATTACCACGCATGATTTCGTTTTTATAAGAAAAAAGTAGTATTATAACATGTTTTTTACTCTGTTCATTTTTATTCGTTTTCTTTATTACTAGAAATTGATAATTGTTATTTTCGTGTTATGTTATTTATCTCATCATCTTCATTAATGAGCAATAGCTGACGGCATATGGACGTTTGCATTAGATCAATGAATACATTTTGTTTATAATTGTTATTACTCTTGTCTTTACCATACTGAATATCAGTGATAATAATGACAGCGTCTGTAGGATGCATGTTTAGTGTCTATAGAGAAGTTGTAGTTTCAGTCTCTAAAAAAATCACAGGGTATCTGGGCGAACTCGGCAGACCTGAGTTCGCTTGCGTTCCATCATAGTGCGCTATGTTCTTCAAAGAGTGCCATACCTGTGCACCCGTATATTTGTGTGTATATTACAGCAATTTAGATAAGATCTCAACGATAGGAACCGTGAAGCTGTGTCGTCAACTCTGCCAGCAACTTGAACTTGTTTTAGCGTTGGCCTCGGCACGTTTCACTATAGCCGAATTTCAGTGACAAAACAACAATACGGCTTACATGTTTTTTTTTTTTTAGTGTAAACAGGCGATACAAACAGATAGCGAAACAGAAGACGTGATACGACTGTGAATGCAAAAAATTCGGCGGACGATCTAGTAGTGCCGTTGACTAATTACGATCGCTAGCTAAGTCTTGAGCGGTAGACACAGGAAAAGCTGGCCCATCTGATCTCTGTGACGCCATTATTACTCGTCAACATCAGTATATTGTCGCATTCGCGTGTTGTTAGCAGCGGTTCGACACTGCCGCTACTGTTAGCTGACAGCCATAAACGCCTGACTCCGGTACCTGATCAGGGTTATATTATCTACTGAACACATATTTTTGACGGTTTGTCGGCCATTGTGTATACATAGGCACGTACACAGTTTATGTCACTGGAATACATACATACATACGCAGAGATGGATGGATGGAAATGTTCAGACGACTGGCTGCCACCGTGATGATTTTGTGCGACTCTGCCCCGGTGGCTGTCTCAGCATAGGACGACTTCACGTTTTTGATATCTCTCCATTTCTTTAGCTTTTCGGTGGGTCTTCTGTGTGATAACAATCGATAATAGGCGAACCGAGCAGATGAAGACGACGACGAACGAGAAGCAAACGCAGAGGACAGACGAAGCTGTTTTCTATCGTTCTCTGTCGCGCCTTCGAATGTTGGCCCCGTCAGAGCCTTTGCTCGTTGTCATCTGTTCCACCGAGTGGCCATACAGTTGCCATACGGTTATCTGAATATTCTACCAGATATGCTGAAAACGGCGATGACACGAGATAAACAATGAACATGAGACAATGAACAAGGTTTTAGATAGTCGTTTAAGGGACAGCACGTTATTAGTGAAGGACAACTTGGCGCCTGGCGATTAACTGTCGTACGACGATCATCTGCCGTAGTGCCTGGACTCAGGCCACAGACGATACATAAGAAAGCAGTATCCTACCTGTATTGCAATGACGGTACCTATATATTTATAGCAAACCATTTACCTAGGCTTACAAGGCTGAACGGTATCGTTGGATTCAATAAGGTAACAACGCGATCTTTGAACTTCAGAGTTGACAGTGTAGAATTTTTCAAATCGGCGTAAATGCATGATAAGCTTTCTCGAGAATGCTCACTGGAAGCTACAGCTGCCGAAGTCTGCTATCTGGGTTCGGTCGTTAGCTGATATGTCATGTTGCGATCAATCAGTTGGTACGTAAAGCGGCAGACGGAGTTCATTTAGTTTTGATAATGGGATGTATTGCGTTTAAAGAATGCTTAAAACCTGTTTGCTTATCAATCGAGACTACATGCAACGAGTGAACAATAGGAGATTTACTTAGTTTCCTTATAGAGCTATGTTGAAACCTATGCCCTTGCGCTATACATATTCCAAAAATTGGCGTGTCCAACCCGCCCCTTTGATGAAACTCGGTTCGAAGTGTTTCCTTTCTCCACAGCGGCACCAAAGACAGCGAAAAATGCCATAGACAATTCGACATCGCGAATCATCCCATTGAATTGGATTCATGGTATCACTTCTCAATACTTTGTTGTCGTAGATATCCGTTTGTATTGTGCTGGCTCTGTTTTAGCCCAACAGCCTCGTTTTTGTTTGAGATTGTCAATACCACATGCGGTCATCCTACCAATACACTTTCATTGGCTATCTGGGTGTCTTTGTGCTTGGCCTCTTTTTCCCTACCAACTTTGATTGAGGAACTAGACCCCCTCCGTTATATCAGACAGAACTTTTACAGCATGCTTCGGAACTTTAACCTGGAGGAGTCTGCGGGCCTTTCTGTAAGCAACACCAGCATTAGTTGACTACTTCCTCAGGGAATACAGCCACCGGGCAACAACGGTGCATGCCAACTTTGGTACAGCGGCAACTTTTGGGGGTGAAACACTACAAGAGTTGACTGGCTGGCTCGTTGTTAATAAAATAGCCCTGCGAAATGAGAAACATATACTACAGTAGGGCTGTTGCAGGTATTCTGACTTTATTTGGCCAAATGTTCTCTATCTGTCGTTAATATTTCGCCAGCCATATCTTAATGTTTACTCTGCCATACTTTTAAACGCCAACGCTTCTCCCAAATTCATGATAAGTGTTAAATTCTTCTTCGTTCTTTTGGAGCTATTGTTGCTAGAAAACGTCGCAGTGGCTTGGGGGGATAGGCGAAAAAGGCCTTGGCTCCGGGAAAGGAGCATAAAAGGGGTAAAATAGGAAGCAGAGCAGGGGTCAAGGAGAAACACCAACGCGGTGGTAGGCCGGGCGATCGATAAAAGCTAAGTGTCCTCCGAGGATTCATTCCTCGTGCCCACGACGGTGACACAGTCGGAGCAGAAACTGGTAGGACAAGGCAAGCAAGGAGGAGATACAAAGGGGCGCTTGGGAATGCGAGGGTTGTGGATAAAGAAAGCACGTCGGAAAAAGAAAGTCAAAGAGGTTTGTGATAAAGATCGAGAAGTCTTGGGGTGGCTAAGAGGCCTGACTAAGATCACACCGTTTCTTCCCCTCGCGGTCTGCCCCTTCTCTATATCTCAATCTTTCGCCGCCCTTCGCCCTCCAAATGGGACAGACGATGGAGGAGTACCGACAACCGACAACGACCCTCAATGAGTAGCGAACGGCAAGCAGCGCGTGTATATCCGTCTGTCTGCATGTGTGAAACCACCCAGTTAGCGCGGCACAAGCTACGTAGATCGTAGTAGTAGTGGTAGTAGTAGTAGTCGTCGAATGGGACAGAATCAGGGGCACAGAGGCTGGCCCGAGGCGATACTGGCTGCAAAAATCAATGCTCCGTCGTGGCTTTGGTGGAAAAGTTAACAAAGATAAATAGGGCAACTTAAACAGGGGTGGATGGAAAGAGCTGAAGCCGTTAGAGGGCGGTGGTGGTCGGACGACTGTCGGTGGGGGCAGCACTTACTGCTGGCCGCTGCCGTGATTGCAGCGGTTGCCTTCGTATGGTGCCCCCACTGGTGGTGACGAGAACGAAGAAGAGGAGATTATGGATTTATTGGATGTGGAGTCGCTGACGCTCTGCGTTCGTTCCTGAGGCCAATGCAGCCTGCAAAGGCCCTTGAGGCCCTCTCGAGTTTGGATAACCAACGCTTAGGGGGGAGATGAAGAGCAGGGTATCTGGAGCTGCCTCGCGGCCGACAGCGGAAATTGAGCCCAGCCGCTGTTGGTGCGACTGCTGCTCTGCTCTTCTGCTGTTATCACAGGTCTGAGGTGCATATCCGTCATGAACGATGAATAACAGTGCCGTAATGACGGTGCCCACTACTATACGGAGCCATTTAAAGCTGGCATGTAGATATAACATGACGAACAGTGCTTGCTTAAGTTTAAGCTTCAATCAATCTCGAAACAACCCAAAACAGAGTAGCAAATCTAAGTAACTTAACATGATAGTAGGACAAGGATTATTCCTTTGCCGAAACGGATCCACATAAAAAACGCGTGTGTCGAATTTAAATGAGTAACTGCTTTCTAACAATGCTGATTAATAGTACTAAGCATCACCATCATTATCATAAAGAACTTTTTATTTGCCCTTAGACACAAGCGACATTGGCTTTTCTCGCGAAGAGCTCTTCGTCTGAAACAAATCAGGAAAGTGGCTTCGAAAATGGCATTGATGGACTTTTTAGACGTTTACATATTAAAACTAGCTGTCGTCTAACCGAGGCATCTAGTCCTTGATGCGCGTGCCGGCCTATATTGAACCTTAGTTCGGCCTAGCAACGCATCATAGATCTGTACGTCGTTAAGCGAACCAGGCTTCCACGAACGACCGGCCCATTGGCCAAAAGCATCGCCAAACAGGTTCATCGCACAAATTACTATTCGAAAGCATTTTGGGTATGGCCGGTCCATCCTTCAGAGTTTATCCATTGCTATAGTCTTAAGAGTATTGGTATAAGCTGCTGAAAGTAGTTCTGACGACAACGAGAAGCCGGTCATGATGATCATTATGTGGGCATGCTGACGCTGAAAGAACGGAACGTTATTGGAGAGCCTTCCCAATAACAATAGGCGCATGAAAGCCTGGCACCTGAAGTAAACGACGTGATCGTACGATAATTCATCTACGGGCATCCTTATTTCTTCACCGAAATAGGTTACGCACCTAACAATTGCAGTAATCCGCCTCGGTCGCAGGGCGGATGCACCTGTTAGAGTTTTTTTGGTGGATAGACCAGCCGTTCCGACTGACTTCGAATGATGGTGATTTTGAATCCAATAAACTTATGTTCCCGAGAACCCATTGCCGATTAAAAACAACAGCTTTACCATAACGAACTTGCTCATAAACGTTTCGTTCACAAAATGCGCCTTTATTGCTATCTAAAGGTAAAGATTACAGCCGATTGGATGAATATAAATTGCCTGTTAATACAAGTGGCGTCTGTATGTTTGTCCTTTTGTCTTATATCTGTGTGTTTATAGGTTACCGTCGGTCATTATAATAAACAAATTTTCATCAAGGCATGCAGCTGTTAGCCAATATCTATGTATGAATTATATTGTAATCGTCGTTTGTCCACGATTGGGTCACAGTTGTTCAATCAATCACGGCCATAATACGAGGGTTACCTACATTTAGGACACAGTGCTTTGTAGTTTGTCGTTGAATCATTTTTATTGATCGTTGGGCTCGCCGAAGTCCCAGTTATAGTACGTTTCTACCGCTGAGTGATTCGTCGTTCGAGTGTTCCCTAAGGATTGCAAGAAATGTCTTTCTCCTTCGTTCCTGACGCTTATTGCTAGTTTTCTCTCAAATCTCGTATCCTTTTACTCTGCTCTGCCCTGCTTAGCTCCGTCTCTCTCCTTTTTTCTCTCTGTGTTCATTACTTGCTCTCAGCAGTGGGAGTGCCGACAGCGGTAAGCTCTGTTTTCCTTGCTTTCTTTTGCTGTCTTTCTTATTCTCCTGTTAGTAGCGGCCGCAGTAGCATTATCCTTATCTGTTGCTGCTACGGCTACCGCCCTGGTTTTCTCGATGATTAATACTGCTCGTACGCCAGGCACCGTAAGCGGAACCCCGCAAGAACTGAGCGCAGGCTCCTCTCCTCTCAACCCCACAAACAGACTGACAGGCAAGAAAAGCAAGGAAACCATTCGCCATTGCCTTTTTCTGCTCATTCTCCTCAACAAACGAATATATCAAAGCCGCCGAACTCGACGGCACTACTACCGGCAACCGCGCTTAGATTCAATGACTGCGATTCGACGAATGGGGATTCTGACAAAGCGGGCATAAGTGGGGGCATTCGACGGGATCAATGAAGAGCGGCAAAGAAAAGACAAATCTATCTACTGGGAACCACTAGTCACTATCTATCTCACAGTGTTCATGCCGCATTGCATCCTGCCTTCCCTACTACGGAGCTAGCCCCTTCCCTTAGAGGGGCGAGGGATGCCAAACGAATGCATTCATCGATTACATTGCAAAATACACCTGGTTGCCTGACGATTGATAGTCCTGATTCTTATCCTGAGCAGGATACACTGCTCCATTACTCACCAGAATCCAATTTAGGCATATGCGCGGCGAACTTCTGATTACCTGCCTCTTTATGAACAAACTCTTTTTTTCATTGTAAAATAAAAAAAATTATCTTACTTTATTATTATTTGGCGATCATCTTCATGCTCCATTGTTCAACGCGACATTCGAAGCCGTTTCTCATTTACGTCTGTCTTACCCGTAACGTGGTATAATAAAAGCCAATCTACAACAAGCACTGCACGTTCAGGGAGAGAGAGAGAGAGAGAGAGAGGGAGTGAGGGGGGCTTTTGGAGATCGCACGTATAATGCTTTGCGTAACAATATAAAGATAACTATTATGATAATGCTGTCATTGTATTGATTTCAAATTACAGGACAACAGCAGCACCTCCGCGCGTTCGCGTCAGCCTTCGGTGCGCGACCTCCGCCGTTCCTGGATCCCCTTCGCGAATGGGACGCCCTACGACGCAAGAATCCTCCTAATCCCCTGAACCCTTTAAGCAGCCTCGGCAACAGCCTCAACAGTCCTCCAGCCCATCCCACTACCGCAAGCACAGGTCTAACAGGACTTGGCACTGGACACCACCCACATTCAGGTGGCGACTGGGTGACGGGACCGCTTGGGGACCCGCAGAGGCGACACCTCTCTCAGCAACAACAATTGCAGCAACAGCAATCTTCTTGTAACACTGCCAACTCGAATACGACTACGCCAAACTCTGGTACGCAAACAAATTTACCACACTGACGCATACGGTATGAACAACTTCGCATGTTCACAATATGATCATGTAGGATTCTCTGCCGTTTACCATTCCAAAGACCGCGCAGTAAGCTTTGCTTATCGTGTATCTATTTATTATACGCGACGGTTTGGACTTCAGCCTACACTAAATCACCTTAATTTTAGAATAACAGTCTGCCAATGATGACTGACATCAGCACTAGGAATTACCGGTCCTGTTCTCCTGCATTGTTCTATTGCAGCGTAATTTTTCTTGTAGAGTTGTCCCAGAACGTTCCAGCAAAAAAATAAAAAAAAACCCTCCAACGATTCCGTGCACCGTTACTGTCCGCAGGACACTTGCTGTCGTTGTCGTCGTCGTCGACGTCTGTCTTTGTAAAAGGCGGAGGAGGTAAAGGAAAAGGAGGCAAATCTAGAGTGATCTACAGTTGGCACCCTCTTTCTTTCTCTTTTGTCGCGTGTTCTCAACGCTAATAATAATGCCTATTGTCATTGCTGCGCGAAAAGTTCGGTCTATTCGGCTGTTATAGCACCAAGCATGAACTGCTTGTTTGGTACGAGTACATCTGTGAGTGAAATGAGAGACCAGATGGGTTAGTTGGGATGTGTTTATGGCGTACACTTGGGTCATCATAGAAACAGCAGCATATGACCATGTGTCTGTGTGTGTGTTTGTGTATGTAGCTGTGTTAGTTGTGGCTGTTGACAGTCGTGTAGTCAACAAACAGCGTTTTTTGAGGTTAACCTCGTTGGCTTGTCCCTATCATAGAGCGTCTATCCCCCGCTTAGACGCACGTTTGTTTCTTTTCCCCCGTCATCCACATTACTGTTCCCATAGCGTCTTCTCCTTCGTCCTCTTCCTCCATTGGTTCTCCGGCCTGATTTCGCCTTGTTTCAACTCCAAGTAGCCGCTTGGCTGCATCTTTGCAACTGCCTGTCTACGAAGCACACTACGACACCAGCAGCCGGCCCGGAAATGGAGGCTACTTCTTCAACGTCAGCCTCAATCTGCGGGTGCGTCTAGTCTCTGAGGAGAAGGCCACCGATGCTGCCGCCACGACGACGACCAGCTCCCGTCGTCACCCCTCACTGGCGAGACAAGTCTCGAAACTTCACTAGCAACGGACTTTCTCGCTGCATCACTCTTGCAGACAACCGCCGGCGGTACAGCAGGGAACCGTCAACCCACAAGACGCCATCTTCCTCTTCAACTTTTCAAATAAAGCGCTTTGCCACATCCACACCACCACTGCCGCCGTCTTTGGGGGCAGCAGCAGCTGCAACGACGGATGCGACGGCGGCGACGACGACTAGGTTCGCTGTCATCCCGCAAGGAGTGGATGCAGGGAAGGAGGGATGTTGACGCTAAAGGCCGCCACAGCAGTTGCGGCTGCATCGATTGCCGCAAAAAGGAGTGCAGCCTCCGCCATAGCGTCGACGAGCACTAGAGAATGAAGCAGAAAGCGATTTTTTACCACAAAGTTTTTGCTCCTATCCTTCCGTTTTTCCCTCGTTTCTTTCTTTTCTTCATCGCCCCCTCGAATTTGTTTTCCCCCTGTATTAAGCCTCGAAGCCACTGCAACCTTCTTTATGTTTACAAACTTCCGCCAGTTGGCTTCGACTTTTCCCGGGTGGCTGAATGGTTCTCTGAAAATTTTGTTCTTTTTTTTTTTGCTTTTCGTCTGCGGCCATTTGTGCCTACCAGTTCGATCGAGCTTCGCCTATGTCGTTGGCAGACCACCACGAGAATAGACAAACAAAAGTAGAGCACCGCATTTCCAATGTTGGGCGCCAGCGATGTAACCTACAATAATATGAACACTCCATGCTTTACTGTACCTTTCAAAACGGTCGTGTGCGCTGCTCATGTCCTCGAAGTGGCTAACGAGATATATAATTACTTTATCTGTTGCTCCGCTGCGATCGAAACATCAGAATATGAAATAACGGCAAGCAGGCATCCGTAAGGCTTCGCCATCTTTTTGGCCACGTCTGCGCTTCTCCGACTTAAAAGACACGAAAAGAAAGGATGAAGTAGGAGGCATAGAAGTAGTAGCCCTTATTGGTGTAGGATTCAAGGATAATAACAGCATCGTTAGAATGACAGCGATCAATTCGAGCGGGATGGCCAGTGTCGATCAAAGAAGTTCTGTTTCGAAAATGGTTTTTCTAGAACCTCGATGGAGTTTTAGCACTTGGCTACCCGCGGGGGTACAGCTACCTACAGCGCTCAGGTTTTCACACAAGGACGAAGACCGTGCGATGGGACAACTGAGTGACGGTAAATGTTGAAGTCAATTGAAATAAATCGAGAGGAAGCCAGCCATGGGCAGCCTGGGCTGGGAGTCATTACCGTCCCTGTAACCAACTGGACACTACGGTCAACTTTGCTTGCCCAAGCGATTTTTTAGATGTCTGCTATTTGCTGACATTCGAAACCAGAACGTCGTTGGTAGATTGTACTGGTCATTTCTCTCCGTTGCCCCAAAATTTGAGGCAAATGGAGAAACTACTCACTCTCCTCTCAAACTTGAACTGCCCCACTATTGGTCAGCAGATCAGCAGCCTATTATGTTGTTGATAATATAACTATATGCAACTAATGATAATAGTCATCAATTAGCTTGAAGGGTAATTTTACAAATCGTAACGTGACTAGCGATAAGTTGGTCATACACGATTGAAATAACTAATGGCAAACCTCTAGATTTACTACGCTAAATTACCTTTCTACATGCTAGAAAGGACCCCCAACTAAGGTAATCTAGCAGCAATGCCGCTGAACGTCTAACCTTTAATATGGACCTCTCTAATCTCCTCATAGAAATAAAGCAGTCGTAACTTATGTTGAAACCTATGCTGCCACTACTGCTGCTTCTACTAATTGTTATGCCACCAAACAGATGTTTGGTTGCCCAAACAGATGCCCCGGCTGGGCAGTGCTCAAGTTTTCACTCATTCAAAATTATATGCCAAAGTGACAACAAAATCATACATTCGATTTTGACGAGGAGGGCAACAAACGCAGGCAGATATACAGGCAAAGAGAGTCAATCTTACAGCAATTGCATTTGAAAATTGTCGTTGGGCGATGCCTATTGTCAGTGACAGATATTGACAACCATTTTGGACTACAGCCGCTGCTGTTCGTAATGGGTTGGCATTATAGCAGACCGTGTATTTCCGTGTGCTGCCTCGTCTAGGGATCGGTAGTGAAAGCATCGGATCCATCGTTGCTGTTGTTATTGCTGAAACAACTCCAACTGCGGAAAAAGGGGCCAAACGACAAGTAGCAAATGGGTGAACGCCAGCAACAAGGCCACCAGAAACTCCGATACAAACACCTCCGTTTGTATATATATACGTTACTATATGTATATACATAACGGTACGCTTATGTGCATATGTTAAACACAGTGCGGATGGCTTGTGTACGGGTACCTAGTGTAGGACACGGGCTTCGTCTGTCATTGTCGTGCTTATTGTTGTTGTCGGCGTTTCTATGTAGTCGTGAGATTCATCCGTTCGTGCTTGTCGTCATCATATGTACCGTAGTGGGTGTGTGCTTGCTGCATCTATTTGGCTGGATATCCGTGATGGCGAGTGGAGTATATCCCAGGCATCGGCGCACCGCATTTCGGAAGGGATTGGCGGAGCCAGATTTTTCTTCGGAAGGTCTCCAAGGAGTTTCAAGCAATCTCTCTCGCTTTATCTTGAAGGCGCGTTTTCCTCGTCTTGTCTGTTCTTCGCGTTCGTGCCCTCTCAACTCTTTCGAGTTGCTCCACTCGACGGCACTCTAAACCGGCGGCGGCAATGGCGCGGTAAAGGTAGCAGCAGCAACTTCTCTCCCGTTCGCTGTGCCGACTCTGATCCGGCGCGCATCGTTCCACCACTTGAAACCCAATTTATTTACATTCATGTCCCCGGGCAGCCAAGCGACCAAGCTTTGGCCGGCTGCTGCTTCTGCTGCAAACATCAGATTCCACCATGTTCGCATCTCTACCCCGCCCCGCCCCGGTCCGCCCCGCCGGTCTTGGCCTTCTCTTTCCGCGCGTACCTCGTCGATTCTATAGCGCTGATCGAGCATTCAGTTGCCTATAGAGCGTCGTTCTACCCTTTCTTTACCGTATTCGACTATGTCGCTGCTTTGTTGAGCTTTCTCGCGGGCGCTCTTGCACACTATAACACGACCACTTCAAATGATACGCGCCCCTCGGCATCTCTAGTAGAAGTCTACACCTAGAACCACTACTATAGAACTGGCAGCAGCCTTTCATGTCCATGTGTCATGCGCGTTTCCACCCCTCCCTACAATTCGTTTCTCTTCAAACATCAACAACAACGACTTTTGTTTACAAATAATGACAGTTTCATGTACCAACCAACGGTAATGGCGGCGAGGCTAGTAGTTCATTCGCTTGAGCGCAGCTTTTCTCACTCTAGTCGTTTTCCTACAGCTCCATTACCAGGCTGAGCCTCAATATTTAGCAGTTCTACCGCTAACATTTATCTCGTATATACTTTTGTCCTTTAGGACTACACCATTGTCGTTTTCAGGAAGGCCACTGAATAGAGCTGATCAACAGGCCAACTCAGCCTCAGCAAACTAGTCTAGAGCTTCGTACGGATCGCGCTTGCCCTCTCATAAGGGAAAGATTGTAGCAGTTTGATAGCCCGAGTCAATATTTGACTCAAACTATTACGTTAGCATTAATCGGTATCTAAAATTGAATCAAGTAACCCTATTGATAGGAACACGCGCCTATACCCTTTTGATCCGTCTACAACGTTTGCTGTAGACGAAAGGATGACCCCAGTGTAGCTATAGCCTACCGACAACAATGTAATAGACATACAGATACGTACACTCGTGCGCCCATGTAGTATTCAGTCTACAGCTTCTGTAAGGCAGAAACGGGTAGATTCTTAGCGGTTGGGGTGGCCCTTAACAGGGCTTATATGTGCGACCGTCTGCAGAATGTGCAGGAAGGTACAAAGTGCGTATTCATGTTGTTGTGATGTGAGTCGGGCTTCGTTGTCGCGAGGACATTGCTCTTCAACGCTCGGTCCAGAGTTATATGGAAGGAACGACGCAGTTCACGGCTCAATGTCTTATAATTTTCTGATTGTATTGTTGCAGATTACAGCTAGAGATCCATTATTGTATGTTTATGCTAACTTAGAACTCTCAAACTCCCTTATTGCCCTAAAAGCCTCCGTTGGGAACTTGCATAGACTGTACCCAACTATACCATAGAAACTTGCAACGTAACTGTACTCGAAATAATGGAAACCGACAAAGACACACCATTGTTTATTTAAATTTACCTATTTGCTGAAATGTGAAGATCGCACCTTAGGTGACGCCATTGGCAGGGTTTTATAAATTTTAATTGAAATATTTTTAACTTGACCATGTTGTTCGTTGTTTTCAGACGTTGTGTCAGTGGGCGGCGTATCGTGCGGCGCTAACGGTGGAACCGACTGGCCTTCGGGAGGAGGAGCGTACCCCGGGGGCAGCGGTCCCGGAAGGCCGTTCGCACCATTTGGCGGCATCCTGGCGGCACCCGCTCCGCCGCCGCCGGCCACTTCACCTTCCAGCCACTTTTCCAGCGAATCTCGCGATAATAACAGTGTATCCAATCCCAACAACCCGATCTCCAGACCGACCTCGCCAGGTACCTATAATAATATATCATTATCACATACTTTATTATTTTAGCTAGTAGCTCGAATTCGGTTTCTCTGAAAAATCTCTCTGTGGAGATTTTTTCTAACCGTAATTTACTCTCTGCTTTGTTTTTGTGTTTTATTTATATTAGTTAGTCGTAAGAAATTGTGCTTCACCTGTTGGCTTGCTGCAATGTGAAGCTTAATCTCATTTTCATATAATATACGTATACGTTCGATAATTTGAGGTGATGTATAATCGACATTTGCCACTGATCTGTATCGACGGCTCCACATCGTGTGGGCAGCCTTCCTGTGCTTCAAGTGCTTCGCTGATTTATCTGCTATGTTTAGTATTTACAAGACATCCCCCCATATCTATATGCCTTACTCTTTTCTTCTTTCTCCTTGCCCCCTGCCCCTTCCTCGCAGACACACTCTCTCTCGATATATATACCTTTCCCTCCTTTCTTAAGTTGAAAGAAGACCGTTAATAATAGGCTCGCTGTCCATCATCATTAGCACCATCATTACTAAGCTATTTGCCGTTTGACAATACGACGGCGACAGTGGCGAGAGGAACAAGGGGCAGCGAAAAGTGTAAGAGGAGCAAAGTGGCGGGGAAGAAGTACGAGGGTGACGGGGACGATGAGTTAGCATCGAGATAAAGAGACGTTTCAACTCGATCAGTGTTAGTGTTCGCCGCTTCTGACGGTAAAGACACGCACTCTCTAGCCTTCGACACTATAGAAAACAACGGGAATTACAATCGTTCAAGCTCGGTACATCCTTTTCGATGTAACAACCAATGCTTTGTTAAGCGCGGACGAAGAGCAGGAGGATAGGGGGTGATGTAGTCGTTTAGCTGCGTTGTTCGCATTGATCTGTTAACGGGATCTCCTACCACTGAGTAGTATGCGAATCGCTATAGTGGATTTGTACTGGTTCGGCGCATACGAAGCATGTTAACTACCGCGTGATACCCTAATTTCTAAACGGGCTCGTTTTCTGAGCCTCGATCAACGCGCTTACCCAGTCACTAGCCTCCCTCCGTCGCTCATCCACTGACTCACTGCGGGGTTTGTTCTCATAGAATGTAGACATTATTTGCATCTCGTCAGACAACGCCCACTCTGAAAGTAGCAAGTTCTATTGTACCGCCGTTAGATACAACACCGAGACGCCTTGATATACCAGGCGTGTATCGGCTATAGCGCTCCGAGCCAATACGAGCGTTGTCGTCAACGGTACCGCTCACCGTTGTACTGTACCGTAACGCTTCGATAAAATACAGCTATATGAGTTCGTCTAGGTACGTATTTTACATGGCGGCCTATAGACATTGAGTGGGAATAGGTTGCGGTACTTCGAAACTATGCGAATCTGCAGCCAATCAGTTGGCGAGAAGAGGCGAGCTCAACTAGTTCGAATTTGGAATATTGTAAATTCCTAGCTTGTCTTGCCAATCCGCGGTAAAGTTAGCTCGTGTTGTCAACTATCCGCACTAACGCTAATAAGAGCAATCTCATTAAGAAGCGGCGATACCTCGATCGTTCTATTAGCCAGCTCGTGCCTTCGCCTATGTGGCTTCGAATATACGATAGCGGCCAAAGTTGGCACGGTGTACCCATAGAACAGTAATTATGTTCGTCATTGGTATGCCTAAATACCTTCACAATAGCGCTGTACTAGGAGCGACGTCGTAGCGGCTAGAAGTCAAGAGAGAGAATCTTGGGGGTAACGCGAGAATGCAAGCGGCGCTCATAGGAATGCGAACGAGTACGACTGCCCTATTAGGTCGGCAACAGGCGACGCACCACTATCTATGCAAATAATCAGTCTACTTCGGCTATTCAGGCTTTAAGAAGCTGTCAAATCAACCGCTCCTCAAAAGCTCAGCCAGACTAAAAAGAGAAGCACCGATAAATGCAATTACGCTCGATTGACGCGATATGGTATAGGACTAACCTAATTGTTTATAGTTAAGATAGGTTCTCTGTTAATTTGCCTATGATGGTGGGCAAGTGGCCTTGCCGAAACAGAGCCACGGCATCGGTTAAACTACTGTTTCCAAGACCGCATCGTTCCGATACAGAAGCGTGTGCACACCGAGAATTTATAAGGACTTTTTTGGCTTAGCCCTGATCATTTCGTCGATCGCTGCGGGCTTTGGGCTGATTTGTCCACAACTCCTTGGTCAAAATCCAGTCCGCATAACGCTGAGCGACGGTTAAGTGATGGTGGTAGTAAGTAGCTTACGAACCTACCAGTATACTCGCATTTAGTCATCCAGAGCTGCGTGCCTCTTCATTGACTCCTGCTCCTAAATTCAGCTTTCTTTCTCTCAGAAGGGAGCTGGGCCGATCAGCAGGCTAGTTGCCGGATAGGCGACCTGCTTGTTGGGTGTTCGAGTTGCAAATGTTCGCTGCGGTTCGCCAGCCGGAGAAAATGGTGGCTGGTCTCGTGCGGTGGTCTGCTTATTTTGTTGCTGCTGCTCGCTGGAGCAGACCACAGCAGCAGCAGCAGCAGCAATGAACCGGCGGTCTATCTGTCTGTCGTGGGTCGGTCGGTCATGGGGAACCTTCTGCTGCATAAGGCCACACTCATTTCCGCTTCGTCTTTAATTGAACCGGAAGGCACGTTCACCGACCGCCTAACCCCTCCAGCTTGATCACGGTTATCCCTACAGGCTCATACCGAAGGGCCGAGGAGCTGAGTCTGGGGGGATGGGGGGAGGGCATAGGAGGCGATCTTGCCAAAGGGGCGTCCGTTCACTCTACTGCTCCACTTCATCTGCCTGATTCTGGCTTTAGCGGGGCAGCACTCAGCCACTTCCACTTTTGGTGCTTCCGTTGCTGTTGCCAACATGCCGCTGCCCGAATGTCCTCGTTGCTTCGACCTCGATCTAAGAAGACTACTCAAAATATCGCTACTTCAGCATCGACATGAGTAATAGTCGCTGCAGGCATAATCGTGTTTGTGAAACGGTTATTACTAGATCGTAGTGAATATAATTTATTGTGTTTTTACATTTCCCTTAAAGGTATTAACTTATGCTATTAAGAGCGAACAATCGTACTAAATAATACACCAAATGTTAACTCGGACTTATCGATCAAACGGATACAAAATGATAATAATATCGGCGTGAATGACTCGTTCATCAAAAATGTCCCAGTCTGGTCTGTGCTCTATCTCCGTGCGCATGGCCGTGACGTTCGACTATTCCGCCGAAATGAAGGAACGTCGGGTATATAATAATACAGCAATCAACAGACACGTACTCCGTGCATTATGGTACAAACAACAGACAATACAGGACTCAAGATGTCCTATCTGCCGGTGCTAGCGAAGAGCGGCGGCCGACTGCGTTTATTGCCAGCCGTGCTGTATATTGGCCTGATTTGAATCGCTGCGTTAGACATTTGCAGTTGGGCATGAGGTACAGATAGCCTTACGTATTATGACAAGGAGACGCAGGGGAGGCAGCAGCGGCCTAGAACGAGGAGATGGAAGTGAGTCGAAGAAGCGCGACAGAAACAACTGAGAGTCAGCAACCGACAACATATACATCATCATTCTCAGCGAGTTAACAAGCTGATGTAGCTGCAACTGTATCTTCGTCGTCACCCTGCAAGAAGAAAAAGGGGAAGAGGATGCAGCCTGTATACACTGCCATAACCTAAACAGGACCTACAGAAGCAGCAGGACGCTGTAGCAGTGGTCGTTCCCGTCCATTGGGGATAAAGTAAACGAATTGGCGATCAAGTTAAATAGCAGCGGCTAGTTCGATTTTTACGCCACACCTCACACAGATTATTCCTTTCCGCCCCCGTCAGGGGAACTGAACTTGACGCATTTCGTTCTCTTCTCATGTTGGAAGTTGCGCATCACTAAAACAGTTTAGATTTTTTTATTTCCTGTCGGCGCCAGATACCACGCAGGTTTAATGATGCCCAAAGTAGTTCACGAGCCTTAGAACCCGTTCATAAGCGTCACTGGAATTCTTGCCTTTGTCAAACTTCTATGAACAGCGTACAGCTTAAAAAATAGTCTATAGAAAAGGGAAAAGAAGGGTAACTATTCAAGGCAGCGCCAACGGAGTAACCAGTTGACGCATAGAAATAATAAAAGACATTAGACCATTTTATGTAAAACCAAGTCTATGTAATTTATTGATAGCTACTTGTTACCGTTCGGTAGCTAGTACACTGTACAGTTCAGCTGCCATCTGAAAATAAACTACGCCATTACGAAGGAACTTAACTTAGGATTCCCAGTCTACAACTACTAACTGTCCGTCTATTTTTCCCCATATGCTTCCATCAACTTTTCCCGTTTTTGTCCCGCGAACAGAGTCGTTGTTCGGACGTCGTGAGCACAAGCGTCTACCAAAATGCAATAAATTTCGAATTAGTCAGCGGAAACTTCGTCGTATCAAGTTAATATCCCATATCGTGGTTGATAAAACGGTTTGAAAATGTTAACAGCAGGCAGGTAGGTAGGATGTCCGTTACAACAGGACGGCTCAGCTAAAAGATGACAATGAAGTCAAATGAAGCAGGTCTCAGCAGCATAAACTGTCCGGTTTATACAGTCAATGAAATGAGCGGATGGACGTACCGAACTGTAAATTGTCCAAATCTATCATTTGGATCCAAATATGTACAGAGGGCACGGCGGTCAATAATATGATAGGTCAATTCTGTCATGTAGACGCTGCTTGTGCTGCTGTTCGAGACAGTTAATGGCTGAGCTTTTTCGAGTAAGCAAGCGACGACAGTGAAGGCCTGCTTGTGATCGTTCTCGTGAGCGTGGCCAAGGGGCTACGAGGCCACGAATTGTCGACGCTGTTGGTGTGAACACGGCCAAGCCCGCAGGCGGATTCTGGACGTCGAGTGTTTGCAACTTGAGTATTCGGTCCGATTCGACAAACCTCTTCGCTCTATGGCACAAAAGAGCGTCACAATAACAAACAGAGGGGGAGCTCCTGAACCTTGAGAATGGGCAACACATTGTATGTTGTCCTTTAAGGATTCGAGCTGCTGTCGGTGGCAAATTCCGGCGAAAGAACTGAGGATAGCAGTTTCGAAGACGAGCGTCCACTATTCGATAGGTTAGATGATGAGACGGGATCGCAAACGAGGGGGTATTGGACAGTGTGTGCGTGTGTCTCTATGTACTTAGTTATGCAAGCCCCAGCGCTCGCTGCCTAGCGTCCATGCGCTGCTTTTCTGCATTACCACGATCTAACAAACCGATTGTTTCGATCGAACTATATTTAAAAATATTGAACCCGTGATACTACCTAGACTACTTAGAACTTGAGAACAATCAGCAATCAGCTGTTGTCGACGAACAACAAGCTTGCCATTCAGATGGCTGAGCGCGCGGATGGTGACACACCTATAGTCCAATCAATGACTAGGTGTAGAGACAAGCAAAGCAATCGGGTCTCGTGTGTATCTTTGAGGCTGCATGGTGTACACGTATACATAATATATGTCGTTGATCGCTGGACGCATAAATTCGAGAGTAAACTTAGATATCGATCGATGCCGGCTGATATCCGTATCAGTGCCATGGTCGGATTCCGTGCTGGCTAATGAGTCCATAAATCACATACAGTTATACTCATCAGCGAGCTGCCGTCACTACTACCATGCCCAGTTTTAACCCCAGTTTAGATAGTTTTCAGTAGTTCTTATAGGGAAACGCATAATAATATACTGCGGATCTATACGTCGACAGTAGTTAACTTCGATAATGCGATGCAAGGTGATACATTTAACCGAAGTTAAATATAAGTTCACAGCAAAGCACAAAAGCAAGTGATTTTATGTCGGTTCTATGTTCGCGGTTCAGAGGGATAGAGAAATCCTTGCTAGCCATTTAAGCGCGCTAAAGCTTATTACATATTGCGTTGCAGGTTCAACGGCGGAGCGTACCTCGCCAGCGACATCCCCAACCTCGAAGGGTTGTAACGGACCACCGCTGGCAACCCTCAATACAAACCACGATTCATCGTCACTACCGCTAAACCTTCTACGCTACAATTGTAGTGCAGCTGCGGTCGCCGTGGCTGCCGCAGCTGCCCAGGATCTCTGTCTATCTGAACGCCTCGCTGAACTTCGACAAGGACTTGTTGGCCTCAGTCAAAATTCTTTACAGGTATATGCGTAATTATTATTGTCGTATATCGACAATCTGAGTATTGACAATATCTCCATGTTTAAGAATATGCAATAGAATTGAAATGATTTCCAGAGGTATGCTTCTGGCATACGTTGAGCATTGAGTAGCACAAATCAAGTGCTACCATCATCGTAGTGCTTCGAGGTGCGCTAAAGACGTTTATAAAACACCATCAAAACAGCTGATTGGTGCATTTCAGTTTTAATGATACGGTTCTTGTCACAACGGCAGTACGTGCCGCAGTAGCGTCCTATATGTCAGTGTTATAACGGAACTTGAGCGGTATCGATAACGACTTATCAGACTTTGTCTGATATAGCTGTTTATACGTAGTGATGTTGCTTGTCATCGCTCCTCGAAGCTGGTCGCTTCCCTGTGATCGGCCTGACGGCAACGATCACGTCAGACGCTGCCGCAATCCTGCACGCTTTTTCGCTGATAACTGACTAGTAATCTCTTGTGCTCACTCGAACTGGCGTTGGGATATCATCCTGTTGCCAAACGCCAACTGTTACCGTCTGATTGCCACCTATAACACATCGATGCTGTGTGGGCCTGCCTGATCTGTCTCGTTGACTACTGACTGATTGTTTTGCTGATCACCTACGCTGGACATTTCGCACTCTGCTGTGGTAGGCGGCCAACGACAGATGATGATGGCGGCACCGGCAACTGGTGTCGATGTGATCTCGTCTAATGACATCGCCACTGTCGGCTGGTCTACAGATATTCCTCTTCGGTCGGCGATGTTCGTTACCTTGATGATGATAGTACTAATGCAAATGGTGACTGGGACGATGACCGACAAACACTAGCCGAAGAGTGAGTTCACGTTCTCACTGCCTTTGCCGATAGATCATGGCACCCGTTGTTTGAAAAATCAGAGGCAGCTTCAACGTCGTCGTAGCCAGTTGGGCGTTCTCTTGCGGCTGCATCTACGCAGGCGGTAACGCCAATGATGATAACGATTGTCGTTGTTATCAGCCGCTGTTTAGATGGTCACTGTCCACGGCAGATTCTGAACGCGTTCGTTTAGCCAGTCGCGTCTTTCTCACTCTTTCGTTCCTACTCCTTCTTATCATTACGGCCACAGAACAATAACAACAGCAGTTTCTGGTAGACGAACATTGATGCGCGGTACCTCTCTGTAGCACAATTGCACCATTTCTATCGCGACCACCGCCTCGATCCGCGACATATGGAATCATATTCTTTCTCTTTCCATTCCCCTATTGCTGTTCCCGCTCCTCCCACAGTCCGTTCGTTTTTGCTGCTTCTTCCTATCGTTGCTGTTGTTTTTTGCCATGCTCATTGTTGTCAGTTGATGAAGAAGCTTGCCGAACAGGGTAAGCTACAGCTCATCTTCAGCTAGCGAAAATCGCCGACGGCATGCTACAGCCTTCGTTGCTTGGCACCGTCTTGCGCAACACAGTGAATAAATGCCGCTTTCAACTAACCAATATCTATCTGCCACAAAAATGGGAACCATTTTTAAATGAGTACCGACAATCATGGTAGCTGTTCAATATCGCAAACGAGTAAGTGACGCCCTCGCGGCTCATGGCGGCCATCTAAAACAACGATGACGACGACGGCAGTGCAGATGTCAGCGCGATGGTGGAAGCGCATTAGATACAAACACACACGTATGGAGAGATGGTTCTGAGCTTCTTTCGGTGACAATGCCAGGGTGGCGATTGATATTTGTGTTCATAATGATGGCGTTATTGGGTGCGTGCGTGCGTGCGTGCGTGCGTGCGCGCGCGCGCGCGTGCGTGCGTGTATGTGTATGCGTCTGTGCTATATATCAAAGAGATAAGAGGAACGAAAACACAGAACCGAAAAAGCACAGAAGTTACGGCCACTGTTGCTTCCAATGCGTGGTGCGGTCATGGTTCAACGCAGGCTCAGTCAACTGACGCTGAGCAAGGCGAAGTACTGAGTGACCGAATGTGTGTGACTAAGGCTAAAGGGTTCGCTTGTTACGCACTGCCTTACGTTCCGTGGGTCCAAGTCGTCAGCGTGCAGACGACAACGGCCGCCGCCGTCACCATAACGACAACAACAACAACAAAAACCTATCTCCTGTCGGCAGGAAGCAATTTTTCTTCTCATCAACCATGCGCCACATACAAAGTAAACGACCTGCTACCATTTCTTTACTATCACTATTACAGCGACCACTACATATAGACACCCACACTGTGTTACTGTTGTTGTCGACGTATAAAAGACAATACAATGACGCCGTGATGTTAAACCATAACAATGGCCGTGCTGATTATTCTTATGACGGCTATGGCAAGGTGGGATATGATCATTACAGCTTGGCAGTCCAAAGTTGATCCGAAGATCTCTTCATGAAGCGCTTCTTCTGCAGACCGCTATTTGCGTCGATTCTAATACGACAGGACAGAATATGGCACCACGGCTACGAGAGTGGGTGGCGGATGAGAGGCAGCACCAGCGAAAGAAACAGACGTGTCGTATCGTATCGTAGTTCTCTGTGCGAATTGTTTTGTTGTTATAGGGATAGTTATGGTGGCCAGCTAAGCAGTCAGTGAGTGAGTCAGAAACTGTTGCCGCTGACTGCCCTCGGTACCGTCGCCTTCATCCCTTCTGCTGAGCTGATACTTCTGCTTTGAGTATTCTGCCCCCGATGTGGAATGATTATGAAAGATATAGCTCGTTCTTCCCTAACTTGTCTTCGTGTATATTCTACAACGTGTTAGAGCCTCTGTGAAAAAGGTTCAATATTTTTTTTTAACACCACTGTATCAGCAGCTGAGTAATTTCACGGAAGACTTTGACAAACTGGTTGTTTCGTGTGAATCTGTAAAAATGAAAACCAGGTTAAGACGACACATAAAACAGCTGGATAGACACCAAAGTAAGTGAAGTCAATAACGTTTGTAGGTGCAACAAAGCTAGCCAGTTTGCGTGATCATCCCGTAAAATGATTGTTTAAATAGGCATGCATACCTACCTATTCGTTTCCTAAAGGGCGACAAGCGACCTGAAGAATGACTTGGAGAGCATTTTTAAGAATTACCATCATCATCAGCGACGGCAGCTGCGTCGTCAGGGCGTTGTTATTATCGTTGGGTTGCTTTGTTTCTTTCTCACCTCTAACCCTCGTCCCCGTCCCGCTCATTTCGCTATTTCATGACTATATTCTAGCCATCTGGGCAAAAACAACAACAACGCTCATGCTGATGGTCACACAATCGAAATTAATGAAAATTGTTACAGCTCTAGTACACTTGCGTCTTTTTGCGATAACTGTAGAAACCAGTGAGGTGATCCGCCCATAAAAAAAAAAAGAAATTTTAATGGCAGTATAGATGTTTTTTTTGATGCAGAATTGGTTGATTCAGCCTTCCTAAGTAGGTTACGAATATTGTCTCGCATTGAGGTTTTGTTGTTTTGACTTACCGCCACTCACAAAAAGCTAAACAGAATAGTGCACAACGGGTAAGACGTTCCTCTATACACGGTACGTGTACTACGATTTCGAGCAACTTTCTATGTATTAAATGAACACTTTGGTTTTTCTTATCGCCCTGCTCTTTTACGGAGCGCACACAGCAAAGACTGAAAGACGGAATATGGGCTAGTGGGTTGATTGGAAGAGAAGTTGAATTGGTGCAAGTATCTCTAAATCTGTTGCAAACACCTTCTGCAGCGGCAGCGGCAATGGTCGTGTCGCCGTCGCTAAAAGCGGATCTACCATCTCCGGCGTTGTGCGTTCTCCCCCAGCGTGGCCCCAGCATGCTCGTTTCCCCTGCTGCCCCTTTTCGGCTGGTTTTTCCTTTTTGCTAATTAAAACTGGATTAGAGACGCTACCTCTGCTAAAGCCTGACAATGCTTCTCTTCTTGTTCCTCTTTACCCTGGAGAGCGGTCTCATCTGTTTGTTCCCTGTATTGTACTGACGACGACTACTGCTGCTGCTGTCGGTGCGGCGCTAGATGCCAGCGGCAACGAGTTTCACGGGTCTGGCCGACCCAACCCGACTCGACCCGGCCATGCACAACGCCGAGCTGAGCAGTAGTAGCTGTGGCGGTGATGGCGGCAGCGGCAGTAACTCTCGACTAAATGCAAAAAACCGCCATCGGCGCTTCCGCTATGGCAGAGTAACGCGAGTTACCAAATCCAAGGCGAAGGCACAAACAGTAACGGTAGGTGGTAACGGTAGTTCGCCAGGCAGACAGGCAAGCAATAGGACGGCCTCGCTGTCAGCGACCGGCCAATGGTGCAAAGTTCTTGCTCTCAAACTTTGTGAGAGCGTCGTGCATCGAGGCGCAGAAGTGCCGCTAGCAGGAGCAGGTCCAACTAGATGATATCAACGCATAACATTAGGACGAACGGACGAGCTCACTGGCAGACAGACGGGGCAGTAGCTGGGGGCATCGACATTGCCTGGCTCGAATTTTGCCTCTTGGCCTGCTCTGTTCGTTCGTTCAGAAATGTCGTTGTGCGGAGTTCATGCGTCAGTATTGCTTACAATATATTAAAAAACACGATACAAGCAAATAAAGGTGCGAGAAAGCAACGGTTGGCAGTTATTTTCGTTAGCCAACGCTTCAGTATCTGAGGTGTCATTAATGGGTGAATTCTCGCCAAGGGGAACACTTTGTATAATAATATAAAGGCTGAGTAGGGAAGGCTGAATAATGAGCAGTTTACGAATCATCGACAAGCTAGCATTGATTGGGACTGACTAAAAAACACGCATTGTCAGTGCAGTATTTTCATCTTACAATTATTATATTGCGGCTTTAAGAGGAAAGTGCACTTATAAACGAGTTCTTGGTAAATGCGTTTTCTTAACTCAGTTAAGCGCCGAAATCAGTGCTTTTTGATCAATCTTGGCCGAGTCCTATGCAAAGATATGAGGAGCTGTTGCGGTCCTCTGAAGCTGCTATTTATTGCCTCATCTGGAGTTCCGTCGGTATCCTTCATCTAGGCTAAATGACAAGCAGGACAGTGGCGAAACTAGCCTTTTTCATAACCAAGTAGCATTAGTCTGACTGGGACTATGTGGCTAGGGGTAAGACTGGCATTCTGTGCTCTGAAGCGTGGCGTTGTGCTGTGTTACGCTATCATAGACGATTTCCCTTTCCATTAGTTTTCTACGCAGTGATGTTGCTCTTTCACAATGGTCATGTACCAAATGATCGTCACCTCTGACCTCTTTCTCATAAACTGAAGGACGACGCCTGATCAAAAGCTAGTCTAGAACACAGAACAGAGGGAAGCAGATTAGGGAAGAATTGACGGGGCTGATAATGCAATCTGTAGTGGCGAGCATTTACGGCCAGCACCGTCGTGATTACACCGACGTATTGATATATTACGTACACCTACTTTCCGTCACCCGCCGTGTAGGCTGAGTGTAAGCACACTTTGACACTGCCACTACCGCACCGCGAGACGACCACACTACTCATTAGAGGCTCGCGGCTTCGAGGCGCACTCTGGCATCTTTTCCTCGTCCTTCGCTGTCGCCTCTCTGGCGGCTGTGTTCCAAACGGTCGTCGGTGGGTCGGTCGTTTGTGCGGAGGTACGGGGAATGGGGCAGCTGGTCGATGGTGGTCGGTCGCCGACATGGCGGCAGTCGTTGTGGTGGCGAGCTGCCAACGCTCGCGCGCGTGAGACGGACGGCGCGAATCGGGTACAATTGCTGCTTTTGCGAGCAGCAATTGGCAACGTGGCCGACCTGCTGCTGCCACTGCCGCGGTGACGTCGTCTGTAGGCGGCGGTTTCCTTTTTCTCATTGCGAGCAGTTGTAGTGGTGGTAGCAGCGGCCTTCCGGCCTTCAGCCAACCACTTGCCCGACCGCCCTCCCAACCGCACGGTAGACCGCACGCGCGGGCACCCAGCCACCGCAAGAAAGCCAGCGAAACCGTTTCGGTGGCGCCCTCTAACGCTTCCTCTACTAACTAAGAGTTGTCCCACAAATATCTCCTAAATCCAAGATGCTCGTAAAACTGACTCTTCCTCCTGAACAACTCGCAACCACCGCTGCTACTGCCGTCAACCCCAGAAAGCCGTGGGCCGGGGGCCAAGCCTCTGCCTTCAAAGCATTTTTGCTCGAGGGAGATCTGGTCTAAAAGCGGCCACTGTAGCAGACTCGAATCGACTCGTCATCATCTGGTCATACTAACACGGCTCATTGCAAGCGAGCTAACCAATACGGCGGCGGAGGAACGATGTAGTTGAACAACAGGACAAAGAGGAGGGACAGCATGGGCTAGCGGGACTCGTTACGATTACAATTTTAAATAAGAAAAATCAAAGTGCTTCCCAGCAGTCCCTTCATTCTTTTAAAACCAACAGATCCGATATTTATTTCTTCAGCCTTAGCCACCACCGCCTGTCCTCTCTTTGAGCCCGAAAAATATACCTCTAGTCGTCAGTGAGTCGGTCCACCTGCTGCTGTCTGCCGCCGACGATGAAGAAAGAGGAAAGATCTTCACTGGATGATTCGACAATACTAGGGTCTATTGCAAACAAGTGTCTGTTCTTGACAGTCTTAGAAGAAGTAATAGCGGCAGCAGCAGCACCATCGTCATCATCATTATCAGCTTCCAACATAAACAAAACCAGTGGCAACGGTGGAGGCTGCGCGAATTACCTTTCCCCCAACTCACATGAATTTCGAATGGCATTCGCTATACGCTTGCCTAACTTTAGAAGCAGAGCTTTTCCCTAAAACAAGGGCGCGTGCCATACGTCTGCTTTTCTGTCCCCGCAATACGAATGCAAACTCTACCAATTCAGCGGAGCATTCAAGTCTGTGTGCGATGTCACTGATGTCCCGCTACGAGCGCTGGACTCCCGTTGCGCCTCAGCGGGCGATCCTGAAGCCTGTGCTTGCTTTGGGCAAAGAAGAAAACCTCTTCATTCCCCATACGACGCTCATAATACGAGACGCAGTTGATGAGAAATAAGGAGCGTATCCGTAGATGGAACGCAAAGCAAAGTACCAAAACAACACTCATTTTACAAGTTTGAAGTAGAACGAGCTGCTCTTATTTTGATTTTGATTTTACCCGCCTAATTAGGTTACGTGTGAGTTTTACTATATGATCGTATGAAAAATTGACTATAATCAACCAGATAGTTAATAGTTTCAGTCGTGTAATGTACATATATACGGGTTATCATGTTTTTATCGTGTTACGTTATTTCCTTGTGCTCCTTTACAGAGTAATCCGGTAATATCGAGCCAGGCTGCAGCAATGAGTACGCTACTATCGCAGAATCCGTACGCAGCCGCCTATGCTAACTTTCTACATAACCATTACCAGCAGCAGCAACAACAGCAGCAACAACAACAACAACAACAACAACAACACGCCCAACAGCAGCAAAACGGGGGTTCTGGCCTATATCCTACTCATCCTGCATTACTCTATCCCGGTAAATGGAATTATGGTGCAATAGCCGCATTTTCTACGTCCTGGCTCCATAACAATATGTAGACCAATCTAGCTGAGTTTGTTAATCTAGATCTTTATTAACATGAAAGTAAGTCTCTGTATAGTTTCCAAAGGTCACAACTACTCTGCGCGTTCTGTTAACTCCTTATCGCCTTTATTTGTTCCAAATGGCAGCTGAAGTTTTGCAGCTTCTCTGCCAAGTGGATAGAAAGCGCAGTGCTAAAGAAACTCTATCTCGATCAGAATGTGAAAGCGCAGAGAGGCAAGATCACTAAGCTCTGTAAGCTATCCTTATTTCTACATAGCTTCCCTAATTTACTCCTGTTCGGTTGTTATTTGTCTGCTTATCGCTTAAGGTCTCTATGGTGCAGCGTTGGCGCCACACGGCTCAACGGCATTTCACATACCAAGCTTAAACAGCAACCATCCACTGGGTCGTAACAAACAACAGCCAGGATCACGATCTTCATCACCACCGCGTCCGGCAAGCGTCCAGCCGTCAAGTCCAAACCCAAGTTCGCAGGATTCGCGCGCAAGTTCGCGATCGCCTCCATGTTCGCCCATGCGCGCCCGTTCGCCGCCCGTGTCAGTCGTCGACGACTACGACGATGACGGTGGCTGTGGCGGAGGCGGCGGTGCAATATCTGATTGCGACCAACAACGTGAACGCGATATCTCAGAACCTCCGAGCTCACCGGGAACTTCTTCCCATAAAGAACACCACCTCGATGAAAAAGAGGATCCACCCTGTGAGCTTAAGGACGAAACGTATAGGAATAAAAGGCGTAGTTCTGGGGATGAGAACAGTGATTCTGAAGACGAAACCGGATCGAAAAAGAAAAAAGACGACGAGAAAACCCTCTGGAGGCCGTACTGAATCCTTTTTGCAATATGGGACGATCGTGTCATGGACTAGTGCGAAGGTCGGCAACAATTCATTAAAACTATATATTAATCTCACCTCATCAAAGGTTCTCTTGTGAAACCACAATAGCAAAACATTTCTAGACGAGCGACCAATCGGTACAAACACGGACCATAACAAAAGCTCCACCGGTGTCAACATAGAAGGGTCGCGCGGTGACAGTTTCGCTTTGTGGACGCAACGAAGTCGTCAGCATTATCAGCCGAAATCAGCGATTGGGGAAACGGTCCTATTTTTCAACGCTGCAGCAGTGGTCGTAGGGCACCCGTTCGTGTCCATTTAGATATTGGCCGAAGGGGGGATCTCGTTCATGGACATCACCCTGAGAACACGCGACGCTCAACGCAGCAATTCAATGATGGTGAGTAACAACAGTACAATTTAATTAGTCAATTTTTCAGATACCATCAGTAACTGGAGTAGTTCATCTTAGGTCTTGGGACCTATTAAAAATCTTCGATAATCATATCATAGTGTAATGTTGTGCCAAGTTCCTATATCGGGCTTTGTATGTATGTCCTTATCGTCATATGCTATTATATGCTTGCTTTAGTAACGTGGATCTGGATGCGTTGAGGATCTGGATAACGTTGAGGATGTCTGACATGAACGGCAACCCTCAAAGGGCTTTTGTGGATCTGCAAATTTCTGTCACGATTATAGTTATTAGGATCGCTTATGTGATAATGTTCCTTAATTATGAATCAGTTTACTAAGAGTCATTATTTGCCGTGCGCTTAGTGGGGCTGCGCTTAAGGGCAAAATGGTCATCTTAACGGACATGTTGCCGACTGGGTCATGTTCCAAGTAAACAGGCGACCAAGTGATCACCTGCCTACCTGGATATAGATGAAGAGGCAGCTGCATGCAGAACGGCTTCTGTAAGCTGTTCAACGGTTCGGAACAACAGGAAATATTTACATATCTCAAATAGCCGGCACAGGACACAGTCTGAGCGAGGAGTCGATAATTGAGCTACTGTTAGTTTTAATCATCATAAGTCGATCCACGGTGGCCCTTTATCTCGTGATGCTTAATATCCGCATTGATTAAATTATGGCCGATGAATCGCCGTGTACGCTACTGCTACTGTGGATCATTGCTGATGCATGCTTTAAGTTCGCCTATTGTGCATGCTGTGTCGTATGTGCGTGTATGTGTTGCATCAAGACCGGCTAAATGTACCCGCCGTCAATGAACGACCACCAGCCGTCACTAAGCGCTACTCTATAGCTTGGTTATTTGATGTCATGAAAGATGTCGTTCCGAAGGTAGAGAAAATAGAGTTGGAGTAACAGGCTGTTGAACGGTCACTCGACGGCGGGTACTCACTAGTGGCGGCTCCTTCTAATGCACTACTATTAGCATACATTTATTCATCGGCCTAGCAGTCGTGGCCTTTACTGCAATGTTTCGACCTGCAGTCGACACACATCAAACCTAGGACTCGTTTTACCCCCTCCCCCATTTTGCACAAGAAAAGTGGACACATCCCGGTGAGCGAATGTGCACTGACAAGCCATCATCAGGGGCACTACGGTTTACATGAGTGTCTGTGTGCACATATACAGGATGTCCCTTAACAGCAGTCTTTCCAGTCTGCCGCTAAGGCGAAGGGGCGTCTTTCACAATATGCCATCATGAAAAAAACACGACGTTCAGCTCTTTCTTGTATGCAATTTTACGGCTATACATGTCTCGAGAACAGGTGCATTTTTATTAATAGACAGATAAGATGTGTATACTCTTGTAGTCTCGAGTCACGGAACTTTTTCATTTGTTTGTAAATACTCTTAGAAGCGAACATATGTCAAGGGGCAAACGATGCCCGTGATTCGTATGGCTTTATGTCTGTGGTGTATCAGTTACTGAAATAAGTACGTAACCCAACTATTAGTTGTTAACCGTTCATAACGATCTAACTAGGGCGATCTTTTTGATTCACTGTGACATTATGTCATCTGTGACCTGACCGTTACTATATTACATCGATAGGCTGAACATGTCCATGAGAATCTACTTGAACTAAATCTCGACCTCGTTCGCCCTTAGCCGAGCGACCACCAAATTCTTTTATGCGGAACGTCGGGTACAAAACGCTGCCATGACATTCTCTCTTGCAAGCATCGAATTCTGTATGTAATTCTCCTCGAGCCTTTTTCACAGAGGGAGCGTCGCACATACGCCTAAATACAAGCGGTGGGACATTTCGCTGGAAATCGTGAAGCCATCGCCCAGGTCTGTCGGGGATGATGTGGGGGGTTTGGATGGCGGCCACCCGCCAGCCCCATCGACCTCTCCCCTAAAGGCGCAGCCCCTCCTGCAACTGCATCCCCCGACTCGTATGTCCTCTCGTCGGCAGCCGTTCTCCTTGCGTAGCACTTCTGAGCTGTCGCTCTATCAGTGGCCACCACCACTGCCACCTCACCATCACCCCACTGAAATCCCTCTCTATATCGCTCTTCGCTGTCGTTTTCCTTCTCACCATCCCCCGCTTCATGTGTCTTGCTACGACAGGGTCTCCGGGGCTGCTCTACCCTGTCGAGGGTGTTTAACCCCAATAAATGAAATCTTTCCGAGGCCACACGCGCACTCGAAGCCAACCATCCAGCAGCCGTCGCCGACCCACAACCACCCTTCCCGCTTTCGTTACACAACCGCCACACCATCGCCATTGGTGAAGCCTTAGAGGGATCGAAAGAGAGCGCTTCGTTCGGGAGCCGGGCGGTCAGGCAAGCAGTAGGTAGCAGTTCGGAAGCGCAGCCGGATAGTAGCGGCGTAGTCGCTCAACACGGACGGTGCAAGCGATGCCTTCGCAGCAGGCAATGCCTGAGTCTGGACCCAAGAGCGAAATGCGAGGAACACTCAGGCACAGCCCAGCCAAGTTGGCGCTGATCGCCCGAGCGTGGAGCAGTCCATACAAATACCACCACCACCACCACCACCGCCGCCGTCGCCGCCGCCGCCGCCGCCGCCGCTGCAGCCGTGCCCGTCGCTACGGCGGCTGTGGCGGCCACGACGGTGCCATATGAAGCATATCGCTGCTTTGATGGGGTCGACCATGTGGAGATGGGATATGGGAGTTATATATTGGGGGAAGGATATGTATACCAGGGGAGTACCAGGAGGAAGGCGGCGGATGATCGCTAGCGACTGCATAAAGACTGGAGAAAACCGAGTGGTCGCTGGGCTCCGGTCTGGGGTACGGCTAGGATGAAGATGGGGAGGGTCATGGGGAGGGGGGAATGTGCCAGAGAGGATTGGGTGGCTGTGGGTGTTCGCCCGTCTATGGAGTAAGTTGACAGGCTTTGCCTAGGCTGTAGTTTCTCCCTGTCCGCCTACTTTCTCCATGACTGCTGCTTAGATCTGCAGAGGGTTAGTGCAAGGGTCGAGGGTTTCACCCGACACCGCACAGGCGTGTGCATACGTGCGAGCACACATGCACAGTCACACTCTCACAGGGTAGCGATATGCCAATTGGACGGATGAGGTTTTGTGTGCACTGTACAGAGCAACGGAGGCAGTGAGCAAGCGAGAGAAAATAAGCGAGAGAATTCGAGAATCTACTAGTGGAGGGTTTGTTAGGAATCGTTAAGACGATATGTTTGCTACTGCTGGCAACTACATATATACGTGTATGCGTGTGTGTGTATGTGTCTGGGTCTGGGTAAAAGCGACGAGGGACTCGAGTCGCGGAACCCAAGTGATCGTTGGTCACGCGGTCGCTGCCGGTACCAGCGGCAATCACAAGTAACGGACACAACAACAACAGGCGATTACAATCGGAGATAGCAGATTCATTGTGTGCAGAATACCAGCGGTGCGCAGCCCACTGTCCATATTTAGGGAATTAAGACGCGATACAGTCTGACTAATCTGAAAAGGCTTCGTGCTCATTTGATATTGAGGGACACCTACCCTTCAGGACAAACAGATCGAACACGATAAGTGGATAGGCACCCGTACATATTATAAACACACTTGTCTCTTATATGGCCAGGGATGGTCGATATGGCGTGCATCTATCTATATACTGTCGCTATGCGGGTCAAAATCGTATATCCTTTTTAACCGTCCTATGATGTAGAAAGTACCGCCTTAACTTACCAATTATGTAGTGTATAGTTAATTTCTAGTCCTAGTACCAGGTCGGAAAACCTCTTTGTGTCGTAAAGCTTAAAATGTACATTGATTATATTAATCAAGCTTTTGGGCTTCTACATGTTGTCAAGCTTCTTCACTAGCCGTATGTGTTAACAGGCGCTAAAAGTAATCTCACATTTTTAAACCGATTCATCTGAATAATAGCTGATAGGAGGTGTAGTACGACAAGCGTATTGATTCAAAAGAATACGATAGTCTAGCGTAGTTGGCAGGCCTGGTTCCAGGTGAAGTTTCGATAGATCAGACAAGCGCAATAGAAGGCTTGGTTGAATAAGCTACGGCGTACAGTTAAATGCCTGTATATATATAGTTGCAGCTAAAGATCTACATCTGCTCTCCATTTGAGTCCTATGCATAGAGAACCACTGACTTTGTTAGGTTTTCTCCCGCAAATTGGCTCGATTCATCACCTCGACAGAGTGGAACAGCAACATAGCCCAGGATCCTAGCAGGACCAGTATGTGCATACTCGAACATACATCAGGAGCGTTCGGTTGCTGTGGCTTCGATGTGCTCTCCGTAGGAACCTTACAATGCTCCCTAAACTCGCGCTTTGCTGATAATAAATAGATATAATATGAACGAGCGCGAATTGGAATCATTACGAATGCATTAGAAAGCCAATATCTCCTTTTTGGCTACCCCTCCCTCCCTCCCGCATCATTCACCAATGGGGTCTACCCATGAGCCGTAGGTACTGTGCTCGGGCGGCAGCCACGGGGGTCGTCGTGATCCTTGCACTCACGGGATACCGACTGATTGTCGGTTAGTGTGCTTTTTTTCTATTACATCGAAAGAAGATACGAGGTGCTTGCATATGTGTCCCTGCAGTCGGGTAGATCGGATGTCGACTCGAGCCTAGAGCGTTGCTTGCTGTGTTTAATGAGGCCGTAATAACACGAGAGAACGCAGTTGTGAAATGTCCGTTTGCCTGCGTGTGTGCGTTCATTACCCGCAGCGAACAAGCAACAAGCCGACACAGACAAGCACAAATTTCCTGCCCACCCCAGTTGTCGAACAAAAACATCAGAAATACCCCAAGAGAACATTCTAATTAAAATAGGACCACTTTTCAGTATGAAGTTCTCGATCATTATTTGTTAGATGATACCTATTTCTATTGGATATTTTGTTTAGATTACTTTTTTGAACTACAACCTTAAATTTCTATTTAAACTTAAAGACCTTTACGTACCTTGTTCAATGAACGTATCGTATTCGATGGTATAAACGTTTATTAATTATCGTATTGCTTCGGCTCAGAAGGAGCCCAAACCATAGTCTGATTTATTATCTCTAATCAACACAAAGATTCCTTCTTGCCCCGCAGTGATCGATTTCTGTCTTTTTTATCCGAGTTTCATAGCAGCTTCAGCAATAGCCATATTTGACCACATAGACGGTCGACTGCAAAATCTCTAAGCAGACAACTGAATTTCAGTCTTAATCAGCTTGGCCTTCTATTGGGAAGACTTGCTTTGAAGCAGTTAGCTGGTCTGATTGGGCGGAGAAAAAAGCGATCCGAGGCAGATCCTTTGTGTCGTGCCTTCGCGTCGCTGGGTGTGAAATTTTCCTTGCCGCTAGTTTTCGGGTCCGACCGACCACCTAAGACACCAGATTGGATCGTATTAATAGCAGTGACGAGAATTTCAGCGGTAGTGGCAGACTGCGACAGTATTAACCTTCAATTGAGATGTCAATGTCACGTGTCAGTCGGTCTGTCGCCTACTCGCTTGGTACCCCACAAGAGCCAGCCAGCCGTCAACACCCTCAACAGTTTTCACACCCGCAAACGTTCACTGGATTCATGGGGGCTCGACGTTGAGCACTTGAAAACATCCTGAGGTGTTCTAAATGTGCGGACTGAAGATGTGCGAGACACCTCTTGCGGAAAGAATTAAGGACGATCGATAAGGTCCATATAATCTCTACCTTCACTACTGTCTACGTGTCAGGCAAGGGTGATCTGTTTGTAAAAAGCGTGTAGACATTAGATGCAGGGATTAAAAGAAGAACTTACATTGGCCGTTGGGTCGTTTGTCCAATGCTCTGCTGATTCGCTACCACTGGAACAAGGGCGTGTGTACAAATGAGATCCCATATGCATTGATGCCAGCATGCCGAAGGCCCTGGATTGAAGTGCTCAGCGCTAGTGGCTGGCTTTGCAAAGCGGAAGGACAAGAAAGGACAGCGTAAAAAAGAGAGCGAGAGGGAACAACATTTTCTTCGTCGGTCGTATTCCTGTTATCATGTGACGTGTCTGCTAATCATACGCGAATGTTTGGAACCGGTACGTCGTCGCCTTTTGGCGCTTGGAGTATCTTTTTTTTTTGGAAAATGTAAATTATCCTCCAAAGGGAACCTGCTAACCCCTAACTGCCATTACATGTGTATGTTGTAGGAGGACAAGTTTCTACAGGTTTCATCACATGTCGGGTATAACCAGGGGTACGCATTAGCATGTACGCATGTAGCATTAGGGGCACGCATGTCAAGTCAACATGAAGGAGACGTATCACATACGTAATTCAGAGTCTGAATTGTGATTTGATGGCGCAGCAAACAAGATGACCCAGCAGAGATGTTAGCAGACAGTTACATCAGTGAGAAGTGGAAGCTATTAGAACATCGGTAGCAGTAGGAGGGAGAGTATTTCCTTTCTTGCTTTGAGTTTACGAAAGATGTTCTTTACATCAGCTCTCCTAGAGCTGCTACCCCTCTGGCGAGAAACCATACGCTACGACAATGGATGATGCTGTCCTCTGATGAAGAGGATTATCAGATTAGCTAACGGCGCGAAATAGCACATCGAACACGACAAACATATTACTATGTACGTGATAATAGTAGGTGCTCTACATAGACGAATACTGCTGAATGTGCATCATTCCCTTCAGCAGGACGGCTAGACGATAGACCACATTAGGCCGGTCCTTGTGTTTCTCTTAAGGTGTGCAACACCAATCTCTGAGCCAGAAGACGATTAGGCGGGATAGGATTCCTGTGGTTAGTTGACAGCTAAAAGTGAAGACTTAATAACGTGGGAATATTTCCTTATCTCGTTACCTGCACAATGTGCACGCGATAGGACAACGCTTTAATACTTACCCATTGAGGCTGAAGATCGATTCCGCGGAACAGATCAGCCTTGTCCAATTCCGACAGTTCTTATTCTTGTCTGCTATTTGCCGCAGGCAAGGCTAAATTGAAAAACATTAGTGGACGCGAATAGTTAGTATGTAAGGAAACAGTCTGCGTAAATAATAACCTTTTAATAGCTCTATTCTCACTTCGTGTTTAACGGAATACTGAAAATCGTCAGCGGCTTATTATGTTTTCTTTATAGATTAGGAGATTTCAGCTTTAATTACTAAATGAGGACCTATGTAGCGTGGGACTTTAGTGTATGTGTGCGGTCAACTTTGGCATGACGGCCCGAAATGCTCTGCATTGAAAAGGTTTTAGTGAATAGTGGCGTAACGACTTCTATGAATACTCGGTCCCTATCTGCTGTTAGCTAGATTTTTGCTACTTCGTCTGTGTTGTCGATCTTTTGTCGTTGTTGATGGCGATGTCAGTCGTTATAATCACGGCGTAAAAAACGGTTTTTCAACTTACTTATCTATCGTGATTATTTTCGTCGTTGCCTTTTTGTGTGAAGCCTCAAGGTTTCAATTGTGGTGGTAAAGTCCTGCTGCCGCTGATGCTGTTAAAGTCGCTGTCGAAGGGGTAAGTAGTAAGATATTGCTAGCTACAGTCAACGAATTACCTCTTAATGTAATTGGCGTAACTTGCTAATCTACCAGCGATCGTCTGTCGGCTTGTCTGCGTAACAATCATCAGCGTCGGTAGCACCCTTACCGTGATGACTAGCACACGTAGTAGTTGTTGTTCTAAGTGGACGTAACAGTGACTAGTCAAATCGGGCCAATTATTTCCACCGCCGAAATACCAGACATTTAACTCACTCATGTTTCTGTGGCTCGAAGAACGGCAAACTGCAAAGGGGAGCAGGAGGCCGTGCGTACGAATATCGCTACGGCTGTTGCTTATTGTTTTGTTCCGCCTGTTGCGTCGGGACCGTTTTAGCTACCGATGCAACTGTTGTGGTTTTTGAATCTGCCGCCTGTGGACCCGTCGTAATGTGAAACAACCATCAGCTAATTTAGCTTTTTTTCCCGTATCATAATTTCATCCCAAGCGTTTTCGTGTGTTGAGAAAATTCACTTTGGCTATTGCAATCGCTATTGGCCGCATCGACATTTCTCTTGCCTGAATGCTATAACTATGCCGAAACTCAGCATAAATGATAACCATGTTTATTTGTAGTATGTGTACGTGCGTGCGTGCGTGCGTGCGTGCATGAATTTATACTCTTCGTGTTTTACGACCAGCTGTTTATTGCGGTGTGAGAACGTCATTGGCAACTTGTATTCCGGCGCATTTAAAATATGTGTTGACTGCGATCCACGCCGAACAGTAGATCCATTATAACAAAGTGGATTTTTTTTGGAAAAATCAGTGTGGACGTTGTTGTCTTTTGCGACATCGAAATATCGTTTATATAATGCGCTGCCTTTGATAAGATCCCTGTCTGCGAAGTAAATTAATAACATCATATTTTATTTGCTTCCAGGTGCAACCAACTGAGTCAATCCTGTATATAATGCTAAGCAAAAAAGGAAAAGTAGAAAAAAAACCACAAAATTTAGAGCAACATCGGCGGCCAGGGAAGTGGCTAGACTGCGGACAAAAGAGACGCTTCGCTGTCTCGCCGCATTCATACACAGAAGGTAAAGATAATGGCGAAAAAGAAGACCTCGATGAAGATGACGATGATGTGATTAACCTCACACGGACTGAGCTGCTTTTAGAGCGAACAGAAGCAAACCCATTCAGAAGAATCCGTTTTTCTCCATTACCACCATCGTCGTCGTCGTCGTCAAGCACAAGCGTATCTTTCCTCTAACTAACGACATCGGCCTCTTCTGCACGTGTCGAAAGCGCTCAACAGGGCAAAGCAAACGAAAAAATATCTCGCAAAAACCGACTGCTACTACTGCTGCTGCTGCTGCTGCTGCTGCTGTTATTGTTGTTGCTCACTATTGTTTGTCATCAGTCACCAGCCCCTCAATGCATTGATCATTAAGCTAAACTAAAATAAAGTGATGATGATGACTACCTTGACGTTTGCCCCGTCGCTTTGATTCTACCAGCCTCCAGCGTTTTGCTTGGCTATTCACTTAACCTGCAGCGGCACACGCTCTATAGCGGTGCATTTCATTCATTTTGTATAAAAATAATAATAGACACTTCCGCTCCCACCACTTACCTACCTATATATATATATATATATATATAGGTATGTACCTACTTTTTAGGCACTATTACTGCACCTAGTATCATATTCTCTCTGCTAGAATTTCATTGATAACAGACACAAACCCTATTATTAGATATTTGCATAGATAATGTAGTAAAGCAGCGGAGAGGCAAGATTCACATCCACGCGATAATATATAGAGAGATAAAGGCCCTGTATTTTCAAAAAAAAAAACGCAAGTGAAACGTGATGTAAAATAATAACCATGTGAAGATCAATGCTCCGTACTTACGGAAACAAAGGGGGAAGGAGAAAAAGACACAAATCAGACCCAGATGATGATGATGACGACGATGTGAGCATGGTGGAATCATTCAAGATGGCAGTGATCTACTATGAGACGACTGACCGGTGATGACAAACAAAACCTCACACATACACACTCACACACACACACACACACACACACACACACACATATATATATATATATATTCCTATGAAAGCTAACAAAGAACGCTGCGACTGAAGCTACTACTATTACTACTACTACTACTACTACTACTACTATTACTACTATTACGACGACGACTACTACAACAACTACTATTACTACCACAACCACCACCACTACTACTACTACTACTGCTGCTACTACTACTACTATTACTATTACCACTACTACTACTATTATTATTATTATTATCATTACTATCACTACCACTACCGCTACTACTACTACTACTACTACTATTATTATTATTATTACTACTACTACTACTACGACGACGACGACTATTACTACTACTACTACTACTATTACTATTACTACTACTATTACTACTACTACTACTGCTGCTGCTGCTGCTGCTGCTGCTGCTGCTGCTACTACTACTACTACTACTACTGCTACTACTACTACTACTACTACTACTACTACTACTATTACTACTACTACTACTACTACTACTACTACTACTACTACTACTACTACTACTGCTACTGCTATTACTATTACTACTGCTACTGATGCTGCTGCTGTTGCTGTTGTTGTTGAGTGGATAAGTGATGATACCAGTATTTGATGGTTGGCTAGTTATTGTATGTAGCTGGTGAAGTGGTGATTAGCAGTGACATTGTACATAGTAACATTATAACCAATAAATTAATAAAAAATAATAAAGGACTCCCGTTGATTAAGGATCAAGTATCCTTTAGAATATGTATTGTAGATGGCTTTTGCAAAGGCGTCAACGCTGTTTAGTTCGGCTATGATAGAAGAGATGAAAGCTGGAAATTTATTCAGGGTAGAAAAATGTAACGTTTTTGTCTGTCCGTTTCAATATGTCAGGGGGACGCGATACGTTGCCGTAAAAGGCATACGCCTCAATCAATTTCAAGAGAACACGTTTGGCTTACGATCGTTTTGAACGCTCCCTACTTCCTGGTTCTAGCTTACCTTACCTTACCTTACCTTACCTTACCTTATCATTATTACCTTACCAGAATCAGATGTCATCACAGTGGGAAAGATGAATTATATGTGGCACACGTGTATTCTTACCTCTATCACGAAGCAAAATATTGAACTCGAGCTACTTATACTGTACACTTACTTACCCTGTGAAATTCAGCTCGGAATATATATTTTTTTATCGTGCCGAAATTTACGGTTGTCTGTTACGCAGAAACAACTCATTTTATTTACTATATCCCCTTCAAATCGTTCATGTGTCCAGCTTGACAGGTGTAGCCGATTGAGAGAACGACGGTAAATGATATGTTATATATTCGCTGGAATTAGATCAACGCTTGTGTATAAGGAACAGGTAAATTAAACGCCACTGATTTTACTACCGATGAAAAGGAACAACGAACGAGCTATTTGTGTATTATAACAATGCTGCTTCTAGATGGAAAAAATCTAAAAATGAGGCTTTGTGTACATAGCCCATTTTCCTCTTGTCCTCCATCCCATCTCCATACGCTGCCGCGATAACGAGGCTATTACTAAATAAATAAATAAATAAATACTAATTATTATATGTCAGAGGTGAAAAAATGTAATATGGGATGATAATATGGAGATTGCCTCTACAAGCACTATTGCATATATTACAATACTTAATTGATTGATGAATAGGGATGACGCATGCCGAGTTGAAGACGCAAGAAGATTTTATGAAGACGACAAATAGAAGTGAAAATAAATTCGAAGCATAACTACGTTACAAAACAAACACACACACACACACACAGACACACAAACACCTGATATATCGTGTCATTTGTAAATTGTTCTTATTAAACTTATACCTCGTCTTTTCAGCCGGCACAGTAGATCAGTGCCGGTGTCACGAGCAAAAAAATAAGTAAGCAACGATACGTAATGCTCAGTAAAAGAAAGAAAGAAGGGTAAAGATGGACGAGGTGAATGAGGAAAACTCAAAGAGCGCAGATAGAAAAATAGATGGGGGAAAAATTATGGTAATGATGACCGGTGACGAGGATTCCTCGCTACTAAAAAGTTCCACGAGGGTCGGGAAGAAAAAAGAACGCTACTTCTAATTCCAATAAATGTTTTACAGTAAACCGTCACGATAATTACGTGTTTTAATTTTCGGCCCGTAGCAGAGTAAGGCAGGTAGAAGCAATGGCTGATTGTATGATTATAATTTTCGGAAGACTAATTATCATCCGCAGTGAATCAATTTCTATACCAGATCCGCTAAATAGTTTAACATTGTTGTTTAGCTAGGACATTAGATTTGTTAGGATAAACTGTGAAAGCCAGCTGGGATTACGACGGTACGGTTTTCTATCGCATATCTGAATTGCGTACAACAATTTCTAAACATCTGACTGTTTCAATAGCAGATTCTTCCCAGCTGGCCGTTATACATGCTTTCCGAGTGCTGCCACCAAGGGTTCTCTGAATGTATAAGAATTAATGTCCGTATCGTTATCAAAATATCGTCATATAAAGCATCGATATTACTTATTTTGTCTAGCTAGAGTAGTGCATTCAGCTTTATGGATGACAAACTTCGTAAACTTAGTCACTCACTCACTCACTCACAGGTTGAGAGTTGCTGAACGGCCTTAAGAACTCTGTCCTCCTGAGCGCGCCGCGCAAATCAAGACCGGCTCGTCTAAGCGCTGAGTATTCGGTAGCTGAGATCTTATCTGTCAGAGCAGCGGACAGTATTCAGTGAGGATATCATTATCAGCATCATCAGCCGCAGCAAATACGGCCTATGATGACGAGAATTACAACATCGTTCCTCAAGTATCAAGAGAAAGGGAGTTACGCAGCAGGCTGTGGTCGAAAATCTGCCTGAAAATGCACTGGCTTCCTCTGGCTGAAGGTCTCTCCTGTTGCTTTTAAAGCGTATGAATAAATATCGCTACCTAATAGCTTTTTCGGCCGGCCTATTGCTCAGGGTTATTCGACTTTCCGGTGTTGGTCCGTTTGTCGACACAAACAATTGCATATCATGCATTGTGCATTATATTGTCGTGGTGGCAAACGCGATAGGTGCTACATACACCGACGAAGCTTATAAACTAGGTTAGGTCGTCCTGTTTGCATCACGGTCGGAGAAATATAGAGAACACTTTCATGGGCCATCTGTGCAACGTACAGAGTCGCAGAGGGAAGAAACTCTTCTTTCAGGCTTGTCCTACCTGTGGCTCCTGGACGAGATAAAGATGTTATCGGAAAACGTTTAGTCAACGGCAGTAGCCAATGGCTTCAGATGCCTTTTTTGTGAGGTTAGGTCTTTATTTTCGTAGCTCTCTGTAAGACTCATAGACTTCTCGTGCGGTGAGCGCAACATGATTTGGAGAAGCAATGTAGATTCGATCTTTGGCGACCGACACATGTATGGAAATAACAGCGCTTCTGAGTATGACTTTGAGGTATTATACGGGCGGGTCGAGTGCGAATTCAGAAGTTTTGCATTAACAGAAAAGATCGAATTTATCGTGTGTAATTTTGAATATCCCGCTAACGAAATTTCGCCTAACAGAAGGGTGAATAATTGAGGACAAATTAATTAATCGGAAGGCTAAGTTGCAGGGCACTAACTCTAATCGGCATCAACAGGCAAACGGCAGACATTCATCGGAAGGACAAATTGTCTAAGTCAGAAAAAACATTGAGTAAACTGAAACATATCTGAACGATAACATGTACTCTTATTAAAACTTCTCAACTGTTTACTCAGAATTATCAATATATTTATTATTACAAAACCAATCGCTTTAATAGTTGAATGAAGGACCATACGATTTAAGATCAGCAGATCTAGGTTCGCTTCTGATCATCTTGCATCTAACTCTACCTATAGTTAATAAAGCAAAATCTCACTGTTTACTTGATATTGTTATATACTTATGGGTCAGATCGTTTGTCTGAGCAGATTACTGTTGCTATTAAGCTATATTTTCTAAATGGTTGAAATATCAAGATAGTCTTCATTAGAATAACACGATAAAACGTAAAAGGAAACGTGAACACATGGAAATACCCGCCTCATAGGTGTGATAAGGAACGTCTCGTTTAGGTTGTCACTTGAGAGCCGATCTTTTAGATAGTAAAGCATGCTTTGATGTCGAGGGAAGAACGAACCGTGAAGTAATCAGTAACTGGAAGATCTTGTACAGGAAGATCAGTTTAAGTTATTGTCTGTAATCACTACTGGTCAGCATTGTTGCTTATTGAAAGTTTGTTGATCTACAATTTTTGGGTTGTACTTTATTTCGCGCCCAGTGTCGTACCCTGACGCCTTCGCCAGCGACTCACATCGAAAATTATACGGGAGGGCTGCACGGCAGGAATTACAAAATCGTTAACTTCCCTTTAACATTAAGTAAACTGACGGCAAAGAGGAACAGCTGCACCTTTCTGATACGTTCATGAATAGTTGAAATAGTTCCGCCACTGTAACTTGTGTTAAAAATCACAATAATGCCGAAACGGTATTACGTTAAGCGGCATCTACTCTGCTACTTGATTGTTGTCTCTAAAGACCCATACAAGCGGGTCCTTCCGTAATAATTGTATAAGACGAATAGTGACCAGCTCACAAAATGGTAACTTGAATATTTTGGAAGCGGGTGAGTCATTTTCGCTACGATTAACTGTGCTTTACACTTAAACTTGGCTTGATACATTTAGTCTATAAAACTTACACATTTGCATTTCATTGGGCGTCTAGGTTGGACCTATGTGATGTATACGCGTCCTTCAGCCGCACTTAGAGGTGCTCACCACGACAGCGCTTTAGAACTTCAGGTGTCGAAGCCGCATTGAGATGAAGAGCAAAAGAGTGCTCTGTCCAATAGCTCAGCTTGCGACAACGAAGGAGTACCCTTGAAAGCAGAGCGCAGTTGAGCTCAACTTGAAGCGTGATACTCCATGACGGGCCGTCGCAGAAAATTCGCTAATATTCAAAATTACGCGCTAAGCTATATCATAGTTGTAAACTGGAGATAGGAGATGAAAATACGTCTTGATGATTGTACTGTTCTTCGAAGAGGAAAGAGGAATAGAGTAATCGAGGTGCTACATGCTGTGCAGGCATAACGCTACGTAACATCAA